TTTGAAAATTTTAATAAGAAATAATTGCACATCTATTTACCCCAGGATCAGCAATCAAGACAGACCATTGACAGGCTTAATACAAAATATAAGAAAAAAATGCTCTTTTTATAATCTCAATGTTGTAGTGTTTGTGTAGAAAAGTTCGTAAAGTTTCTTTATTATTTAGTATAACGTTAGCTGCAGCATTATCTGTGAAGGGTCTGTGACGCTCTCCATTATAAATCCACATTTTCAAAGGATCGCAGTTGGGAAAGAAACAGTTCCTCTGGGCTCAGGTCGTTGTTAACACTGCTCTGGGTTTATTAACCTTAACTTGAACGTCTTAAAAAATGTGAAAAGTGCTACCTAGTGGTGTACCAATGCACAGCAATCGGTTTTATACCGTTTAGACCTGGCGCCAACAACCTTAATAAGCTACGGGCTGGAACAGCCCAGCTCCAGTCCAGCACAGACCAGGTGGCTTCGGCAGTACGTCAGCAACATTGGGGTTGGGGATGTTGCTTGTGCCCATGCTGGACCCGTGGGAGCTGTGTCTGTGCCGTCGTTGCTTCATCCCAGTTGTAGCGTGGGCATAGCTTCCAGCTGGTAGCATCTGAGCTGGGGCCAGGCAGCTGGAAACTGCGTCCTTGCCGCTTCCACTCCTCCCCTCCAGCCCTACCTCCCAGCTTCAGCATGGGCACTGCCAGCCCTGGCTCACTTCCCCACCGGCTGGAAGCCTCACCCGTGTTGCGGGTAGGGAGAAACTACAGCAATATGGCCACAGCTTCCAGCTGCCTGGGCCCCGCACAGCTCCTCTCTGCTGCAGGAGGGGCGCAGATAGAGGCAAAGCCTTGCGTCTCTACGGACCAGGTCTGTATTTGTCTATAACGAACAAATATGCCAATAGGCGAATCCCCAGCAAGGGGCTTAGTTCTGCCCGGGCCAGTTCTCACAAGGCGCTGTGCGTCTCCGCTTGCAATGAAGGGCAATGGGAGTTGAAGGCACGCTGTACCTGGTGGGATTGGGACCTCAGTTAGGCTCTTTTGCTATCAAAACCAGATTTTTAAAATGCTCACTTGTATGTTATGTGTGGCATGTACATGCTGTTCTATTAAAGAATAAAAGAAAGTATGAAGTTTGACCTCAGCCAAGGTTTTATCATGCCTGCCCCGCTAGTGAACTCTAAACCAGAGCAGTTTGATGGAATTCAGTAGGTTTCCTCTTAATTTTTATTTCTTTCTTTTTGGCAAAGGGAAGCGGTGCTACGTTCTGAGGCAATGCTAACATGAGCTTTTTTCCATGTCCCATGGAAAGCTGTGGCTTCCCAGGAAAAGGAACGAAACCCGCCTGCCCTTACGTTTGACCGCTCCTTTTCATTTTCAAAATAAAGGTCCCTTCATTCCCAAATAATACGCACGTTCAGTTTTTCCCCAGGAATACTTGGAGTGAGCTAATCCGATGACATAGCAGCGTGGATGCTGCCGGCTGGATCAGCATTTTTGCTGTTAGTCACTGCATAGCAACTTCCCCGCTCTTGACAGTTCTCATAGTTGCCCCTGGGAGGGACGAGAAAAGAGCAGTCCATAAAGTTCCCATTGGCTCGAAAGCAGAAACATCTGCTGGAGTCGTGAGCAGTTTGTTCGCCGAGTTCAATAACAGAAAAGCCTGCAGTTGATCAGCTGTGCCTTCAGAAACAGGCACGACTCCAGTCAATAGAATTTATTGCAGGGAGTTTAGGAGCCATGGAGAAGATTAGGGCAATGGCAAAATGTGTCAAAATATGTTTTTCCTTCATTGGTTTCATAAATAAGCTTTGCAAGAAGTAAGGAATGACTCCGGCTAGCCTTCCGATACTTGTGGTGACTCACCTAGCTCTTTGCAAGTTACAACAGCACAACATTGTATTCATGCTCCCAAATAGATCGAATCAGCTTTAAGTCGTTAAGTCTTGCCACGGTTGTAATGACGTGACACTGTGTCGGCAGAATATCTTGAGAACACATGCTGCTTAGACGATGTCTTTAAGTGTGGAAGTGTGCATATAACAAACGCTATATCGACTTCAACAAATGTGGCAATTGCATAGGACCTCAGTGAGAAAGTTGGCACGTTGCAAGATCTGGGCCCTAATGTGTACAGCGCTGTACATAATTAAAATAGGCCCGGAAATAATTTGGGGGTATTACAACTTTAAGAATGAAGATGTGTTGCATTAAGGAGGTGTCAAACGTGGCTCCATAATTGAGGCTGGGCTAAGATATGCATTTAAAAACCAATTCTAAAATCCTTTTATTTCATATAATGTATGGATTTTTGAAAGCCCTGTGCTGTTTATGTGTTACAGAGGCGCCATTCTCTAGTTATGGTTGCATTTGTGTCTGCTTTGCCATTATAAACCTGCATGATTAAGGGTTTACAACACAGCTTTAAAAAATTTGCAGTGGGTGGAAACCTGGCACATAAAGGTCAGCCCTCGAGCAGTATTTTTAAACCAATTATTTTAGGTTATGCAGATATAAAAGTATCCATTATAGCTTCATCTAAGGGTGTCCAGTGGGTTGCGACATCAGAGTGCAAAGCTCATTTGTCTTACTAAACCAAAAATGGTTTTAATTACATTGTCCCCTTACTTTGCCTTTTTGGTGCCCTCTGCTTCCCCTTGATGGGTACAGTTCCTCTGGTATACAGTCCAGCCCTCTGTTTCAAGCCACAAGGAAAAACACCAGGGACAGGAGTGGAAAAAAAGGTCACGTGTCTTATCATGCTAATCACTTGCTTCCCCTCTCTCCCCCCCTTTTAATTTCTTGGCTCTTTCTCTAATGTGAAGTTGCATTTGCTGCCATGGAAAGTGTACTGATTAGACCATAACCTTTAATGATACCTTTCTAATGCCCCAACGAGCAACAATCATGAGACTCGATCCTTTCAGTGATGAGCCCGCGATTCCTTTTTGTAGCAAAATATAAACAGTTATTCCCTTAAGACTGTATATTGAATGGTAACGGTTGTGAGGTTGAAGATTACTTTGATCCAGAAAAAATTCTGTGGTATCAGTGCACAGGCTCAAGAACTAGAAGTTGCTTTTTGTAGCAACATATGTAAATGCTGTCAGAATAGGAAATGGGAATGAAACTATTAATAGGGTGGCAAAATGTTCTCTATTAAATTTCTCCCATTGCATCTGCCTCTGGAATAGCACGAAGAGAGATTTTCTAGTAATGTAAGATCCCGTAGCACTTTTCAGAGATGTATGGCATTAATGCCAGCATTGGGGCCAGAATCCAGCTGAGGTCCTATGCCTACCTATTTCCCTGCAGCAAGTTCAGCTGAGTGCAATATATTTTACAGCCTGCCCTAAAGTGTCATATAGCATTACTATAAATCATTAATCATTTGGCACGTTTGACTGCAGAAGTTGTTATATTTTGCTGGTGGGTGAAACAATCCCTGCGTGTAACATATATCCATTTCAGATCAAGCTCTGCTTTCCGTTACGTTCCTACAATGCAATGAGAGGCTTTGCCATTTGCAGAGAACTGTGCAAAAGTTATCTTTGAAAAAACTTTCCATCAAAACAGAGGCCAGAGTGCTCTGGCACTGCTTTTCCTGGAGAGCCATTAGCAATGAACATCCCACTTTTAAAGAAGTGGCCCACAATGGGCAGAGAAAGGAGACTTAGTCCCATTTAAAAAAAATATATAATTGCTCATAAGGGCTTGTTACCTCAAACATGCACATGAATAATTACTCGGGTGTTGTTTCACTGACATTATAGGAGGGTGGCTTGCCCAGGTGAAGTGATTTGTTTGTATAAGTGTGTGCAGGATAGCGCCTTAATTTTCTTAGGAGTGCTAAATGCTAAGGGTATGGATGCCTAAGGACAACGCACGGAGAAATAGGAAGTGGATAGAAGCAAAGCATCACATCAGTGGGCTTTTGCTTTCTGTGATAGTGTTGTGTTACTTGATTTTAGAAATACAAGACCCTCAATAAAGGCATCAATGTGCCTGATACTTTCAATCCTCCATATATTTTAATCTGATTTCAAATTTAAAAATTGACAGGGTAGTAAGAAGTCTGTAAACAATTGCACATTTTCACTATGTACTATATTCTTGCAGGTCTGTTCTGCCTGTGAACTTTCCTAAAAAACATATTTTAACTTTGTTTGCTTCCATCCTCCGGATACCTGCACAACTGGGCATACATGCCTATAGAGCATTAGCTATCTGCAAAGACAATTTGCCCATCATTATCATTATTTTATTATTATTATTATTATTGTTGTTGTTGTTGTTGTTGTTACTTATTACTTTATTGAGCAGCTCATGAGTTATAGATATTGAAAAATATGAAATGTCTTTGTCATGAACACATTGCAGCTATTATGATCAAATAGGTAACGGTGCAAGGCAGCTGATATGATGTGAATCATCTACAGTTACCCGGATTTTTAAAAAAATGCAGTTGCCAAGCCAGCTTCAAACTAAGTGCATTAATGTCAAGATGAGGTGATCATATTAGTTCTGAAGCCAGGGAAGCGCGCTGCGTGTTCAAGGTTGGTATGTTTGCCAGTGCCTCAGGATAAGTTTTGTCACTGTAGCTTAACACTGTTCAAATTCTCTTGAAGTGGACAATTTGAAAAGTTTGTGTAGCAAGCTTGTATCATTGGTGGCATTTGTCAGTATTAGATCCCTCAAGACAACTTAGGCAGGGTAGTCATTGCAGTGGAGTTGTTCGGTGTGACTGCTAGCTTCTGGCAGAAAGAAGTATACCAGGCTGCATTATCATAGTGTTTACAAGCCTAGAAATAATGTGGAGGTGGGTAAGTTTTCAGAACAGGAGCTTCTTTAGACTTCACAGCACCAGTGCTCACTAACCTTGCTCTGCGTCCCCAGAAAGTGTCCCAATTCCATGGACGTACGTATGTTGCTGCATTATTACACGCGTGAGAAAGCACCTTCCAAAAACATCCAGCAGAATAAATGACATTTCTGAATTCTTGTTTCTTTTCACAGTGGTCCCACCTGGGAGTCCTGGACCTATTACTCGTCATGAGTCATACGACAGTTTAGCATCTGACCACAGTGGTCAGGAGGACGAAGAGTGGCTTTCCCAGGTATGGGTTTTGGGGATGTCAGGAGAGAAATGCACGTAGCATCTATTAAGACTGAAACTTGGTAAAGGCCACAATACAGCAGTAGACTATATCTAAACTTAGCTTCAATCTTGGCTTCTGTGGGATGAGTTTGGCAGTCTACATGAATTCCCAGCGGTAGGTATCGACATTTTAAACGAGCATAAACAAAGCCCCGATGCGTGCTGGCACTAATTACAACCTTGGCAACCTCAGCATAGAATAGGAGTACTAATTTGGCCATGAAAAATAAGTTGCCCTCTCCACCCCTGTAGATGTGGTCCCTTTTATTCAGGGGTAAGGAAATTGGCTTGGCAGAGTGGGGAAGCCTGCTTATTTGTAACCTATGCTACACTCCATTATTTCCTAACTTCAGGCTAAGGGAGTAGCTTGCTTACAGCACGTCTTTATTTGTGAGTTGCTACCTTCCCTCAGTGCTAGATTCATCCAGTTTTTATTGAATGCCACTACTATAGTGCTGCATGAAGATCTCGATCTAAATTAAATCTCTTGTTTATGAAGTCAGCTTTTAAGTCAGGGTTAATTACTATTGCATACAGTGGGAATGCTCCCTGGGTAAGATCTGAAGAAGTGTAACAGGATTCGGCTCAGCCAAAACGTTGCCTTGCAGACTTATGTCATGAATAATAAAATAAAGTTCCATTTCTATGCGTTTTTCAAATTGGCTTTTGAAATGTAGGAAGAGTTAAAAATAACCAAACAGCAATGAAAAGTAAATGAATTTATCAACTCAATTGTTCAGCATCCTGACAGACTGTGAACTTTCTTTAATTTGGGTATGTTACTAAATAGGTGCATGGTCCATTCAAAGCTTATGCCCAGCTTTCACATTTTAAATATAGTATGATTTTGGATATGACTGTTTTGACCCCTGGATATCCAGGAGTCAAAAAAACCTGCGGGGGGGGGGGAAAGCGAAGCAATGCACGCACAGGCACCCGGGGTAATTTGCCGCATGCTAAGCGTGCGTGGCACAGGCGTTCTCCAGGGACAAGTAGCAGTGGCACAAGGTGCACCGCTGCTACTTGTCCCCGGGGAAGCAAACATCCACACTCATCGGGACATGCCTGCTGAGTTCAAGAGGGCCTGGATTTCATCCCCAGCTTCTAATAATTTTCAAAATATTACAGTTACATTGCCCATTTTGTATCCCAATATCATTTGGATAGTTAATGATTTAGCTAATGTTATTGGTCTGATGACTCTATAAAGGAAAGCAGGTCTCTCCCCAAAAGAAGACAAGAGTAAAGTGAAGCACTGGCATACAGGCTGGTTGACTTCTACTGCAGAGTTTACACAAAGTAGTTGTAGAAGCTTAGTGGCACTCAGGCGCTGTCATAACTATTCTGCGTTAGAGTAGCAAATATATTTATACAAAAAAAAATCCCAGATGAGTTCTCTTAGGACACAAAAAGGGAAAGCAGGAAAAGCACTAGGAATGCTTAATATTTGCTAAGTGAAAAGAGCGATGATATCTCTTCTGAACATGAAGATGCTGGCGTTCTCTAAGCAAGCCACTTCAGATTAAGCCCAAAGTGCGTGTATGTTTTTCAAAATTAAAGTGTTGTTATCAACAGTAACAGCATGCCGTGAAAAAACACTGCCCTTCACTTCAACTTTTCAATTAGAACAGTGGGTAATGTGTGCTGTCAGTGTGAAGTAGATACAATATGTTTGTCCTGCACACAACAGGAGAGTGAATAGGAACATCTGGACATAGCCTCGGTGAAATTGCAAAGGCATCTGTTTACCTCTCGGCTCTGTGACACTGATGGTTTCAAGCTTAAAATATACAGCATGCTTTATCTGTGGCCTAATTTGCATTGCTGCATAAAAGCTACTCGACTCAGAAACCACCACAGTCAATCTGAGTTACCGCAAGATAAACAGAAATATGAAAGTTGTACTAACCGGACTATGCATTTGTCCTCCTGGATTTACAGATAGCAGCTGCCTTAGAATAATGTTTTCAGAACCCTTCACAGGACATCTTGGAAAAATCCATAGTCAAAAATACAAAAAAAAAATGTTAATTAAAAAAAAAAAAATCCCTAAAATGCTAAAAAAGATGCTTTATGAAACATGCCTAAAGACATCCATGTGAGCATCCTTGGTAAACTGCCGTCCATCTGTAAGCTTGTTCATTGCTTTGATAGAAACTCATATAAATTTAATAGCCTGATTAATTTTTAAACTTTGAAAATACCAGCTCGCAAGTTGAATTTCTGATTTTTTTTTTTTTTTTTTTTTTTTTTTTAAAGCGTTGATGCTTTATTTTGTTTTTATGGCTGAGTTGGCCATTTCACTCAGAGGCCTTGTTTTCAGGTTCTGTACCGTTTGAAACGAGTACGATTTGAACTGATCGTGCTTGTTTGCGTTCTTAGCGGTGACTTCTTGAATGTTTGAAAAGAATGTTTTCATCCGGTTTTCAGTATGAAAACAGCATTTTGACATTTTCAAAAAAAACATTTTGTATGCTTCGCTTACTGGAAGTGACTTATTTTTCAGCTTATTTGTAAGATATTTAAACGCCCATTGAAAGCAAAGCAAGTATCTTGCACTACGGGTAAGAGTCTTTAAAAACCTGAAAGTTTGAAATTGCATACTTTGCACACATTTTCTGTACTCTTTTGTTTGGAATGACAGGGCCTCGCAAGCACATTGAAAATAGACTCTTGTGCTTTGTTTAAAGTGTCAGACTTTTAACTGAATCATATACGTTAAGCATTTAGCTACATTTTTAAATGTATATATTTATTATATATTCTCTCTCTCTCTCTCTCTCTCTCTCTCTCTCTCTCTCTCTCTCTCTATATATATATAATGTAGTCAAGTGGCTCTAGTTCTTTGCTCTCTTATGTTTGTATTCCCATTGCTGCCTGCAAATGATGCTGCTTTCCAGCAAGATGGTCTTTGCCAGCAGTAGCCTCTGAAATGCCAGCTGTAATTATGCCCCTTGTTATGAAATACAATTCACACATTATCCATGTGAAGAAGTGCTGGTGTAACGTGTGAACTTTCAGAAGGCTGACCTAAACAAAATAGTAACAGCTTCCTTTTGAAGAGAAAGTCCTCTGACCTGATCGAGATTAAAGTAATTCATGAAAATGTATGGGGCAAGATTTTTTTTGTTTCCACTTGATTTGTACAGACAAAGAGTGAAGTCTATTCTTCTGTTGGGTGGGGGGAATGCTCAATTTTTAGTTTCGTGACACTAGCAGTCATTTTATACTGATAAAAGCAAGATACAAATTGAATTATTTGGCATGACGGCCATAAGGGAAGTCCAGAGGCTTCACAGTGATTCAGAAGGTTTTAAAGATTTTTGTATCCTGAAAATGTTTTTCAAATCAAACTATCAGTGAAATTTCTGTGTGATACACATTTTACATGTGGAGCTCAGTTTTCAAAATCTTATTAATATTTCCAGATTCTGCACATGAATGCCCAGGGTAGGTCAGAGATGTGTAAAACAAGTGTTCCTGCACCTGCCTGTACATATGTGCATCCCAACATTAGTGTTTGGACATTCTCCCTAGGAGGCAATACTGGAGAACGGGATTCACTGTAGATCGTTATTTGGGAGGGTTAAGTTGTCCCTCACATTTAGAAAGCTGTTTAACCTCAAATGATCCCGTTTAGGTTCTACACATTTAATTTGGTATCATTGGCCAGATCTGGAGCCATGCAGAGTGTTCACCGAGACCATGAGAACCGCAGAATTGGACTCCCTATAAAAGATCCCAATTTTCTTTGTTCCTGTCTCTTCTAAAGGGATGGGGCAAAATCTGCTGTTCATTTCCAGTGGGATTCTCAAGAGTTCATGAGATTGAGAGAATTGCTCAATGTGTTACTCAGTTCAGGTTATTTTTAACAACATGTCATACCACTTTCGTAGGTTGAGATAGTGACTCACACTGGACCTCACCGCCGCCTGTGGATGGGCCCCCAGTTCCAGTTCAAAACAATTCATCCATCAGGCCAAACGACAGTAATTTCCTCCAGTTCGTCTGTGCTGCAGTCACATGGGCCAAGTGACACACCACAGCCTCTTCTGGACTTCGACACGGATGATCTTGATCTCAACAGTCTCAGGTACGAATAAAGTGCATTTTCTAAGGATGTTTCTCGATAACTTACACTCGCAGTAACCTGTTACTTACAGAAATATCTTCTGCATTGCACGTGTAACGATTCTCATCAGCCTGGTCAAGATCAGAATCTTAGAAGATCACTTGACTCGTTATCAGTAAAAAGCGAACAAACAAATTATTCAGGGCAAAGTGTGGAGAAAAATTTCTCCCCAAATGACTTTAGAAGTTGCTTGGATTCCTTTCTGTTGTTGCCTCTTGCATGAGTAACAGCAGAAGGTGGTGCAAAGTCCAGTGTTCCTGTTCTTCGGTCTCTTAAAACGTTCAAGGCTTCTTTAGCTTTCACAGTTTCTGCTTTGCTTAGCAAGTTTCTCTGTTAGAAAATGACTAGGAGCATTAGGGTGTAGATTTATAACCTGCTGACCATAAAGAGGTCAGTTTGTTAGAACATGAAATGAACCACTGGAATGTCCCTCCTCCCGCCCACCCTTCTTTCCCTTACTTAAGAGTAATGTGAAAAACTCTGATCATAGATTTGAACCCAAGGCTGCACTGGATAACCTTTTGCCTCCTGCATCGTTTTTTTTGTTGTTGGCAACCTTGCACCATGAGGGAAGTAGCCTCTGCATGCAGCACACTGGATAACACATCTCAATAGGTTATCCACTGCCTCCCTCTTAAGCAGTGATTTTTAATTCCTATGCGTGTCAGAAGTCTCTGCAGCCTGTATGGTTGCAATGAAGAATGAACAAGCTTCACTAAGTCTACAGGTTTCAGAGGCTGCACGTGGTTCTTAAATCCAGAGTTTCATGGGATGTGGGCTCTTTTCTTAACTCCCAGTAATATAAAAATGGGAGTGTAAAATGTGGAGAACTGAGTAGGCTCCATGGAGGAGCTGATCTTAAAGGGTGCTTGTACATGAGCCAGGAGGCTGCTCTGATGCACTGTAATCACAGCGCGTCCGAGCAGACTTGATCAATCCCCGCACTTCAAAACAGCATCAGGGTCGCTTTAACTAAAGCTCGTTTGACGAGCTTTAGATAAAGCGCCCCACCACCATTTTGAAGCGCAGGGATGCTCATTCACGAGATGCTCCAGGGTCTCGGAGCCACTCTAATTAAAGTGCCCCCCCACCCCCGGAGCACATGTGAAAATCCCAGTGTCTTCAAACAGGGGAGTTGTCCCATTGACTTCGGTGAAATTACTCCCATCCGTTCCGGATTGGGCTCTTAAGGTGCACACTAGGTATCAAGTCTTTCCAGGGATTTGGGATCTCATCCAGATGTTTTCAAGAACAGCATATATGTATGGAAA